AGGAGCCCTGGGGTGATGGCGGCTGCCTCTCTGCAGGCTTGTGGGTCCGCAACGGGACGGGATTGATCCGCAAGGAGGGTCAGCAACTCTACTGGACCTTCGTCTCCCCCCAGCTGGGCTACTGGGCAGCGGCTCTGCCCTCTCCGAACACAGGTAGGGTCAGCCCAGGACCTGCTGCCCTCCTGCATCTCTGTCCCCAGGCCTGGGCATTCTGAGAGGACAGGAGCAGGGAACGGGCACCAGGCCTGACTTGGCACCCCCTGTGGCAGGGCTGGTGACAATGGCTGCGGGTATGAAGGACATCACCACGTACCACACCATCTTCCTGCTCACCATCCTGGGCGCCCTGGCCCTGCTCGTCCTCATCCTGCTCTGCCTCCTCATCTACTACTGCAGGTGAGCACCCTCCCTGCCCGCCTGGCACCTGCTGGGCACCTTATTGCCAACTATAGGGGGCATTGCTCACCTGGCACCCCCCCGAGGGCCCTATTGAGGGCTATAGGTGCTGTTGCCCTTTTGACACCCGCCCTGGGCACCGTATGGCTGACTATGGATGCTATTGCCCTCCTGGCACGCCCGGGGCACCCTGTCCCAGTGCCACCGTGGCATCCTACGTCTCAGGGCTTGCAGAGGGCCATGCTGAAGGTGGCATTGTCCTGTGGTGACCCTGCCTTGTCTTCCTTCTCGTCCCCACCACAGGAGGAGGTGCCTGAAGCCCCGGCAGCAGCACCGCAAGCTGCAGGTCTCGGGCACCCTGGACGCCTCCAAGAAGGACCAGGCCACGTCCATGTCACAGATCAACCTCATCTGCAGCAGTCACCTGGAGACGGCGTCGTCCGGCGGCGACACGGACGTTCACACCCCCATTCTCAAGTCGGCCTTCTCGGCCTCGCGCGAGTTCGAGAGCTCCCGCGAGGAGTTCTTCAAGCAGGTGGCGGCGCCCAAGCTGCGCGGCGTCCCCAAGACGCCCACGGACACCCTGAGCCACCGTGGTGGCCTCGCCAAGGAGGACTATGGGCGCCTGGGCGAGCCCTTGGGCCTCAAGGCCGCGCGCTCCATGGACGGCGCGGGGCCGGGTGAGCCGCCCTTGCTGGATGAGTACAAGCGAAGCTACTCGCACCAGCGTGTGGAGGAGCGCGGCCCGGCCGCCCGCAAGCACCCGCGGCCCGAGGCCACCTATGGGCAGGAGCCGCCCTCGCCACCGCCACTGCCACCCCCCTTCGAGCACTACGGGGGGCCCAAGGGGGGGCCCAAGGGGGAGCCCAAGGCAGCCGAGTTCCTGCTCTCGCAGTCGGTGGAGCAGCTGGCACGGCCCACGTCGCTGAGCCAGCCCGGGCAGCTCATCTTCTGCGGCGCCATCGACCACGTCAAGGAGGACGTCTACAGGAATGTCATGCCCACCCTGGTCATCCCGGCGCACTACATGCGCCTGGCGGCTGACTACAGCGCCGGCGAGGCGCCGACCGGCACGGGGCCGCCTGAGGGGCCGCCCGAGCTGGAGGGCCC